TGATATGTTGTTCCATGTGGGCTTTGTTGCTTCTGAGCTAGATGGCCGCTTGTTTACCTTCAAGCTTAGAGTCTTTGTAAGAACGACATCTTCTTTTCCTGCTGCACTTCTCCCCCACTTTCCCACCCTTAGAATTGGCCCTGGGAATTAGTCACTAAGACTGAGTCCTTGTATTATATATTTTACTGGATGTATATTCTGTATTTTAATTTTGGATTTATCAATATTTTCTTTTTCATTCATGCTTGATAAAATCATAATAATTATTGGATTTCTGTTTTAAGTAATATTATGATAAAATACCCACATGGCATTATTTTAAATGGTAATTTAAATGCTAAAGTTCTCCCTTTAAAAAATATTTTATGTAGATAATTGTTTAAATTTTCCTGGTCAGTGCAAACAAGATACTTTGTTTTTTCTCTCTATTTGGATGAAAATATTTTTTGAGTGTAAAATTTTTAAAATAAATTAATGTTAAAAAAAAGAGTACTTCTTTTCCATGTGCCCAAACACGCCCCCCCCCCTTATGTCACTTTGTCTGTGATTTCCAAGGCCAGCCACCTCTACTCAAGGATTATCCACCACTGTTAATATTTTTTATTACATCCTTCGCATTTTACAAATTAGAAAGCTGAAGCATAAAGAAAATTCCCACTTTGGAAAACTCTTCTCCCAAGAAACAGCAAAAGCCCCCCTCAGTGCAAAACTGTCTCACCAGGAACCAGATTCTCTGAAATCACCATGATCTCATCATTAATCCTGTCAGCCAAAGGCCCGAGTCAAAATATGCAAAGAAGCCTAGGCTTAGTTTCTTAAGAGAGAGATCACATCCTTCAATTGTTGTATCTCATGCAACCACTGGTCACTTCTTACCTCCTTGCCAGAGCACTAGGAGATCACTGGTCTCTGGAACCAGACACATGGGTTACAAGTTTTACTTCATCACTTTCTATTTGCATAACCTCAGGTATACGAGTATATCAATAAAACTGATAAAAAACAAACAAACAACACCAAAATCAGATTTCTCAGTTAAGTCTGATACAGCCAGGTCACACTGCTCCAAACATAGGTATTTGGGGGCTCACCTTGTAGAGATTATTACCTAGATATTTGCTTAACAGGCATTGACTTAGAGAATTGGAGTAAGAAGGAAATGAAGAGGAGATTGGATGCAGGATCCCAGAGGAGGAGTCAAGGGGACAGCCTGAGGATCAGAGCTATGTGATCAAATATCAGACTTTGTCACGGAAATCCTAGGCTCAAAGGCAGACTCACTACACAGAGATGCTGCCCTGATCCAGGACAACATTTAGAAGTAAGAGCCATGTTCCTTTGAAGACAGTTTTAATGGTAAACAGCAGACTGTGGTGTTTTAAACATTATACTTTAAACAGGACACAGGCAAGCAACCAGTGCCTTGAGGACAGCTCAGCAAATCATCCTGATCAAGAAGGCCAGCACGTCCATTCTTGTTTCTGTAGCTGACTGGAGGGTGAGTATCTGGGGGAGAACAAGCTGCTATGCCATAGTAGCAAAGGTTTGCTCTGGCCTGCAGGGTGCCTGTGAAAACGGTCTCATTTTGCTGTGTGTTTCTCGCAGTTCAGCAGGCAGACTAATTCTCCAAGGGACTAGCCTCACCATCTTTGGGGATTTATGTTGGAAACAAACGTATGGCAGATGTGCCACCCTCACCAGTAGATTGTTTAGAGACTATTTGTGGGGCCAAATTACAAACTTGGATAGTATGGTGGGGCTGGAGCTAAAATGAACTTACAAAGGATTTCTTGACTCTTTCCACAGAGTATTTTCTGGCATTGAGAGCCTGGGAGTAGAAGGCAGTGGACTGGGTGGTGTTATTCTTATCTGGTCTGAATGAACAGTTAATTGCTGATAGATAAGAAAAAGACAATAACAGGCTCCCAAAAGGAATGAGATTTTTGTTTCTTAAGTAATAATTTTGGTGCCAGCTAATGAGGTCCGAGATACCTGTCAAGGTTTTAGCCAAATACAGAGACCAAGATGATTTGAGAAACTATAAGGTTATTTTTTGCAAGTATTTGAGAGAAGGAAGAAGCGAGCCTTGAAACCTCCCCAAACAGCTTCATAGATTTTGCAGGAAGCAAGCAGGTTCTATAGCCGAACCAATGAGGCAAGGTGAGGGAATGTTCCACAGGTTCATCACAATGAACAAAGAAGGCAAGATTCATAGCTACAGGAGCATCCTGTCACATCCTCAAGGTCTCAGGCTCCATGCCTTATTTTGAAAGTCCTTGCTTGCCCAAACCCAAAGTAGCATATTCATAAATTTCAATGGGGATTTTATTGCAAGGGTGGGAGTGGCGGGGAGGGTGGAGTGTGTGGCTGTGACAGTTGGGTTTTTCTACAAACCAAATCTTAAAACAGACTGGATCTCAAACCATGCCACCTTCCAGCGTTGATTAGCTGCAGGCTAACTCTATTTCCCTCCATATAAATTTGTCTTCCATGGGTGCCTGGGAAATGACATGGAGGGCACATCTGACTTCTTCTGCCCCTCAATGTTGATTGCCACAAAGCACAGGTCAGGTATGCCATACCTCAATTCCTACCAATTCTGTCACCAACTGTCCCTCCCAGAGTTCTCTCTACTTTTCAGCTTTCTCTCGTTTTCTGTAATTAAATGTAGTAGGCGCACAGAATTCGCAGACAGCACTCTTGATTGTGCGCTTAACAGGGAAGTTAACAGGTTACAATACAGCTATTTTGTTAGGACAGTTTCTTTTCTGCTGTGCCTGTAGGCAGGTATCTCTCTGGCCCTTGGCTAGTTGTCTTGGCCTTTTCTCTAATCAGGCAAAGTTACAAAACTCTTTTAGGGCTGCTGACAAAAGCCCAAAGATGCATGCCTTTACAAATGCCCAAAGATGCATACTTTGGCAAATGTCCAAAGATGTAATCTTCAACCCAAAGCACCCAACTCCAGCTTCATGGGTCAGTACACCCAGTTCCTCTAATGAGAGGCACAGAAGCATCACACTCACAGCCAGTCTCCTGCCGCAAGACCTCAGCTTTCCTTGCTCTGTGGACGGTGAAGTCCACCATTCTGTCTCATGCTCTGGCTCCTGATGCTGCTCTTGCTTCTGAGAAGGATCACTTAATATGCAGTAAGATGACAATCACAGGTAACCCTGTTAACAATCATGCATCGCTGAATCATATAATCTAACCCTTTTCTTCTGCCCTTCTATCCCAGATCCCTCAGGAAAAAGTCATTCAGTGGGAGTAAGAAAGATTAGCTAGGGTTAGGGGCTCTTACAGTTCTTATAATAATCTATACATCAATTGTATCAAGCATATTTGTACATATGTTGCCATCATTATTTTCCAAACACTTACATTTTATTGAGCCCTTGGCATCAGCTCCTCCTTTTAATCATCTTACTGCAAACACATTCATATACTTGTAAGCCAGCCACTTCATTTGTTATGCCTCATTTCTGAATCACCCACCATTAACAACCCAGTATTCTGAGGAGACAAGAATGTTTCCTTTTGTTTTGTTTTTAAAAAGAATGTTTTTTTTGTTAAATATCTTCATTTTTGGTTGGAACTTTGACCATCTGCATCCATTAGAAAAGTCTAGGCAAGAGCAATCCACCAAATTTCAGCAAGTTATACCAACTCATAGTGTACAACATCTCTCCATTCCATTTGGTTCTGGCCATCTCATCCCTATAGCCATTCATGTTAGATCCATTGAGTACCAGCTTCAACCTTGGGAGTCCATGCACTTACATGTCCAGCCCCTGAACTTCAGATCAGCTGGCCCCTTCTCACTCTCAACAGCCCCAGGACCCCAGTGCTAGTTTGCACACATAGGTTTAGGATCCACACAATTCTTTAACAGCAGACTAGCCAGCCCTTCCTTTCTTCTCTTGCCTCTGTTGACCAGGCCGACAGGTACTAATGGCACGTGTCCAGACTCAGCCTATCTCTTCATTCCTGCATCTCCACCACTTGCATTCAACAAATGGTCCTATGTTGTTACCACAATGAGCATACCAGATTCACTGGTTACCTTTAAATTTCAGTCCTAGAAGGGGATTTTCTCTGATGCTTACAGACTTTCCCTGCATTAGTGCATCTGGTGGCAAGCTGCTTACTCAGAATTCAAAAAGCCAAACAGTCCTCCCTTATACACTGCAGGTCTACCCTTCAAATTTAAATCTCTTGTTCTCTCAGCAATTGTAGATGGGACTCAGGTTTCTATGTAAGCCACTAACACTTTCTCCTGGGCAATTTTTAACTCTTCCGTGAGCATATCCAATCAAGTATAGACGGAATGGTGGCTTATAAACGCTATGTGATCAGTATAGCCATATTGATATTTATCACACATATAGGCCTATTTACAATACCATATAGGAGAAACATCCAATATTCATAGTACACTTGGGAAAACACATAACCTTTAACCTTTTAACAATACCTAAATAGAAACTTCTCTTCTGGATAATATCTTCATTTATGTACATATAACCTTGGGCCTAGGACAGGGTGGACCCAGTCCTATAAAGATTTACAGCCTGAGAAACCCACAGGGGTTTCTAGCAGATCACCATGAGTCTGAAGTGTCTCAATGACAATTAGCCCCAGAAGTACTGGAAGTTATCAGTTACCTACAATGACCTTGGGGAAGAATCCTCACGTCTCCACTTCCCAATGCTGGACACATTCACCTCTTACGCTCTACCTTCCTTTACCACCACCACTACTACTATTACCAATGATGATACTTTTCTTATAAAAATGTGATAGGTCTAACAAAACATATTCAAGTCACTGAGTTTTAGTAAAACAATGTGACATTCTATAGTTTCTTAGAAATGGGGCTTCTGAGTTCTCTTCCTGGGAAAATCATTGCTATTTCCTCTCATCCCATAGATAACTAGATTGATACTAAAGTTAGAGTTTATGACTATTCAAAAGTTCCTCTTTGGTGTTAGAATAAAAAAACCAAGAAAACACTGATGAATCAACCACCTCAACGATTGCCATCAAGTTGACCCTGATTCCCAGGAACCTGAGACAACAGAGAAGAACAACACTATAGGGTTTTACAGGATTTCCAAGGCTGTAAATCTTTACAAAAGAAGATTGTCGCATCTGTCTCCAGCCCAGCAGCTGGTGGGTTCAAATCTCCAAACTGTTAGGAGCAGCGGAGCACTTAACCACTGTGCCACCAGGTCTCTGTTATTCAATCACACAGGGCATGAAATGAGGTGATCCTAAGAACCCATGTAGTAAAGACTAGGTGTGTGCTTGGGGCCAAAGTTTAAGTAGAGAGCAAAGTTCTGGCTGTACAACAGAATCATAAGTTGGAGCCAGTTACAGAACACCCTGTTAGATCTGATTCGATCTGAAGAAAAACTGGTATGTTAAAGACAATATTCTGATTGCAGGGGCATGAAGTATTGAACTGGGGTGTCAGGCTCCCCGAAAGTTTCTTTTATTTTTAGATGAATAGGGATTAATCGAAAGGTACCCGGCTGGAACAGTGGTTATGAGTTTGATTGCTAACCAAAAGGGTGGGGCTTTGAACCCACCAAAGTGGGTCCATTTATCACTCCATTGGAAAGGCATAAAAACAAAGGTGAGATCATGAAGTTCTGCTTTTTCTTAATAGGAATCAACAATGGAAACACTCCCCAAACCTGCAGGGCAGGTCAAGGTAAGAAGAAATTAGATATTAAAAATACAAAACAAAACTCACAGGCAAATTGGGGAGCTGGACAACAGCATTGTGCTGCAGCACGTTATCATAGGCTATCCCCTTTGACCCTGGCAAACACCCCCAAAACAGGTCATACAGATATCATTGCCACTAAGGATTAAAGTGCAATAAACACAACATCAAGATTTATTTCTGAGTAGTAATGAATGCATATGCCAGGAGCCTATGGTGTCAAATCTAGTTTCAGTTCCAAATTAATCTATCACGAGTATGTGACTCAATCTGTTTCCACATTTATAAAAGGAAAAGAATAAGCACTCTATGCACATATACCCCTCCCTTATGCAAATTTCCTGTGCACTTTCCACAGAGTCCCTAGAAAGTTCACTTGGTTAGACCCAACATAAAACATCTTGGTTTGTTTTCCCTTGAAATTTAACTCTCCACCTCAAAGTTGCCTCTCCTACGCAGCTGACAGTCACCCCAGTAAGTGGTCTTGCAGACCAGCCTGTGCACATTCGTGTGACGGGCCTGCATCCAACCCAACTGGTGATGTTCAAGGCATCTCTGAAGGATGAGAGGGGGAACCTCTTCCAGTCGAGAGCCGTCTACAGGGCGAACAGTGCTGGTGAGGTGGACCTGGAACAGGACCCTTCCCTTGGAGGGGATTATGCGGGAGTGCACCCAATGGGCCTCTTCTGGTCTTTGAAGCCTGAGAAAACTTTCCTGAGGCTGATCAAGCGGGATGTGATGAATAGACCCTTTCAGGTTACTCTGGGTTTATATGACTCAGCCAGCTTTCTGGATGACAGCAGGCAGCCCAGGGCCAGCCAGATTGTTGAGCGCTGGTTCTCCTGCCCTGGGATGCAGCGGGTGCCGATCTCGGAAGGCCGGCTTCGCGGAGCCCTTTTCCTCCCTCCAGGTGAGACTAATGATGCCTGGTGAAGGTAACAGATTGAATTCCCCCCCCC